TCCTTATTTTTTGGTTTTTGGAACTTGCTCTGTAGACCAGACTGGCCTTGAACTCACAGGTCTGCCTGCCTCTGCCTCACCAGAACTTAAAATTTTAATGCAAAGAAAACTGTTAAGATATTTTTCTGGAGCTCCATATAAGTTATATATTTCAAGTTTGTTTTTAGTGAAGACACTTTGAAACATGGTGCTTAGGAATAAGCTTGGTGGGCTGACTAATAGCAAAATAATGTAGTCTATATACTTGGAATGCAATTTATATATCATATAGATGTTACGAAGCAATATTAATATAAAACATCCATCATGAAACATCACCTTACTTGACGGCTTTAGTAAATCTTTCCCACTGAAATACTTGTAACCATGGCCATCGTTTTTAAAAAAAATTTTGAACACGATAAAAGGTGGAAACGTTTCACCACCAAATCTGAAAAAAAGATAAAAAATTAGTGATATGACATCAATTGTGGGGATCCATTGCTTCTTCCTCGTGTACTTAGCACAGCTCATACAGTTTTTCAAATATAGGGCATAGAAAGAATATATAAATGCTGTGGGATGGTCTTTCTGTATGCTGTGAATATATGTAGCCCACATTGGTTGATAAATAAAGTTGTTTTGGCCTATGGCAAGGCAGGATAGAGCCAGGCAGGAAATCTAATCAGAACTACAGGAGAAAAAGGGCAGAGTCTTGGAGATATCAGCCAGGCACGGAGGAAGCAAGACATGTAAAAAATGAGGTAGCAAGCCACAAACCACATGGCAAAGCATAGATTAAAAAATATGGGTTAATTTAAATGTAAGAGTTAATAATAAGCCTTAGTCAAGCATTTATAAGCAATATTAAGCCTTTGAGAGTTATTTGGGAACTGGTGGGTGAGAGAGAAATGGCCATTTACAGTGCTTTTAACCTCTGAGCCATCTCTCTAGCAGAAATGGCCATTTACATATAAAGATCAAGCAAAGGAATGGACACAATGGTGGTGAGACCTTATGTCAATTTATAGCCAGAGTCATGTCTTAGCCTTTTTACATAACAAATGCAAGCAGGGAAATACTTACTTTTAAACTTTGTCGTGAAAAATAATCAGTATTAAAAAAAATCATTGCTATTATTTCTTCTCTGAAAATAAATCAGCATAGTTACATTACCTGAATCTGACTTTACACCTCATGCTAGGATCTTTAAGAAGCTCAGCCTCTATGGGGTTCACTCTCGCCAGCAGTTCGTGTGCCACACAATATTCCTGAAATAAAGGGCAACACTGTCAACAGAAAGTGGTATCCTGTCCCGATGTCATTTACTGATTGCGAGAATGGAAGCAGCCTCGTGGTGGCGGCGCACACCTTTAATCCCAGCACTCAAAGACGCAGAGGCAGGTGGATCTCTGTGAGTTATAGGCTAGCCTGGTCTACAGAGTAAGCTCCAGAAGAGCCCAGAAAACAAAACAAAACAAAACAAAACAACAAAACATTAGAAGCATAGTGAAATGAACCCTGAGCGCAGGGCTCTAAAGAGGTGGATTTCTATTCTTGACTCCTCCATTTATTGTCTATGCAGCCTTTCGTCTGTTATTTCAACTCAGGGGTCTCCAAATTTGAGTACCCATGCCTTTTGAGATCGCAGGCATTTGAGATCCCTATGAAAATACTTTCCCACAATCTATTGAATTTATCTATAGACTTATCCATATCTCCAACTAGATTATAAGCACCATGAAGGTAGAGACAGCATCTTTCTTCTTTGTTATTATTCCTAGCATCTAATAGAGTACCTGAAACACACAAGAAACTTAACAAGTGTTTAATGTTAAATGAATCATGGTAATATGGGGATGATAATGGTATTAAGTGACTAATTTTTAAGAACCTTTTATTTACCATATAATATGGTGGAATCATAGTCATCTATTTATCTCTACCTATCTATCATTTATTATCTATCTATCTATCTATCACTTCATTTAATCCTAATAACACCACAAGTAGACTATTATCACTCAGTTCACAGATGAGAAAGCTAGGTCTGAAACTTAGATTTTTTGACTCTAAAATTGTCATTCTTTCCCTTAAATGACTCTATTCAATTTTAACCTGTGATAATTCCATTAAATGTACAATAATAGTATTTTTAACAAGATAAAGCATTTTTCCTTGTTTCTATTTTTTGAGACAGGGTTTCTCTGTGTAGCCCTGTCCATCCTGGAACTCACTCCGTAGACCAGGCTGGCCTTGGATTTAAAGATCTGCCTGCCTCTGCCTCCAGAGGGCTGGGATTAAAGGCTTGCGCTACCACCACCCGGCTAAGATAAAGCATTATTAATGTGAAGTATCAATGTGAAGCACTGGAACAAAGATATAAAAAAATAGCTGATTAACTTCATTTATTTACTAAAATTATGAGGAAATCAGTAGCATAATAATTAAAACTGAGTTCTGTATGGTAATACATATAGGTCTGTGGGTAAGGTAGAGAAGAAGTATACATATTGCTCAAGCTTTCTCAGAGCCGCAAAACTCCTCTAATGAGAATAGCAGAAGATAGCAGACTACTTTAAGCAAGGCTTAATACTCTGCTGAGTTTCCAGGTTTTTTTTTTTTCAGGGAAGGAGAATGGGCATTTGTGATTTTTATTTAAATAGGATTATATCCCTCATACCACTCTGACTTGCCCTTTTCACTAACAAGCTGTCTTGGTTAGCTTTGTATTGTAGACTCGTGTTAATACTGCAAGCTTTACACGTGAAGGCAGAGGCATTTACTTTCTTCCACGAACCAAAGCTGCAATGAAGTTGTACTGGAGAATGCGCTCTTAGAAGTGAAACTGCTGGCGATGGCTCAGTGGTTTGGTTCCCAGCACTCACCGAGTGGCTCACGATTGCTTGTAACTCCAGTTCCAGGGGATCTTATGCCCTCTTTTGACCTCTGCAGGCTCTTGCATGCACATAAACTCACTCAGGGTCACGTACACACACACGTATGATAAATAAATATAGAAAGAAAGAAATTCTTTTAAAAAAAAGAAGTGCAACTGCTGGGTAAAAGGGCATTTTTAAACTCAGGTGTTTTTTTTTCTCCTGAAGTGTTGGTGATCAAACCCAGGGCTTCACACATGATAATACACATTCTACCACTGAGCTACACCCCTAGTTCTTCCTTTTCTTCTTTTTCTGAAACAGGGTTTCTCTGTAGATCTGGCTGTCCTGGAACTCGCTCTGTAGACCAGGCTGGCCTCAAACTTGGCGATCTGCCTGCTTCTGTCTCTAGAGTGCTGGGATTAAAGGTGTGTGCCACCATTGCCTGGCTTACACCCCCAGTTCTTAATTCAGAGATTTAATTGTTAGATTTGAATTAAAAACAACTAAAATACAACTGCAATAATTTCAGAAAAATAGTAATACTCATTACATATTGAAAATAAATCCAGAGGGCTGGAGGGATGGCTCAGAAGTTAAACATACTGACTGATCGTTCAGAGGACCCAGATTTGATTCCTAATGCTCACATTACAACTGTCTTTCACTCCCCAGTCCCGGGGAATCCAATGTCTTCTCTGGTCTCCACAGGCATTGCATGCCTAGGTGCACAGATGCACCTGAAGGAATCCATACACATAAATAAAATAAAAATAAATAGGTCTAAAACAATCAACCAGAAATATTAAGATTAATAAAAGAAGCAATTTTATAACTTTACATAATATTACTATATCTAAGTCAAAGAGATAAATAGGGTTATTTGTTCTCTCTTTAATTAGTTAAGAAATATCTGCCAGAGGAAAAAAACCACCTACCGCTGCACAAACTGTGTGTTTTAGGAGTTTAAACAATGTTTTGTCCACATAAATGAACCAGGCCTTCTGTATTATTGTTGCTGAAATATCTCTATTAATTATAAGAGGGAAAAGAGGTTAGCAATTTATGAAGTACTTTTCATTTTCCTAAAATCTTCAACAAGTTTCAACTTATATTTCCCCATTACTAAGACTGACCTAATAAGCAACATTTGGATGGAGCAATTGGAACTAGTTTTTGTAGTTTCTAATCAGAATGAGACTATGGAATAGTTAATATTTCCCGAGATTAAAAAAATTCAGCTAAAATTTTATCAAGATACATACATTAAGTCAGTCATGGTGGTTTATTCTTATAAACCCAGCAGTTAGCAGGTGGAGGCAGGAGGATCAAGAATTCAAGATCAACTTTGGGCCAGGTGGCACTCAGGAGGCAGAGACAGGCAGATCTCTGTGAGTTCGAGACCAGCCTGATCTACAAGAGCTAGTTCCAAGATAGGCTCCAAAGCTACAGAAAAACCTAGCTTTGATTGCACAGTGAATTTGGGTTGAGGGTATAGTCCTAGTGTGTGTGAGACATTTTCTTTCTCCCTCCCTCCCTCCCTCTCTCCCCCAGTCTTTCCTTTCTCCTCTCTCTTCTCTCTCTGAGACAGTGTCTCATGGCTCTGAAGAGATGGATACACAACTGAGTATGACCTTAAACTTCTGATCCTCCTGCCTCTAACTTCTTAGTGCTGGGATTATACCAGGCCTGGTTTTATGTGGTGAAGGAAATTGAGTCAGAAACTTGTACACACTAGGTAAGAACTCTACTATGTATATCCTTAGTCAGAGATCCTGGGGTTTAACTCCTACTACTGTTGGGGGGTTAGGGGTAGAGGAGAGAGGGAAGAAAGGAAGAGGGAGGGGTGGGAGGATAGAAGGGAAAGGGATGGAGAAAGAGAGTATACGAATAAATAGGTGTGAGAAGGCAAATTTGCCTTCTAAAAGCATTCATGGGGCTGGTGAAATAGGTTTGTGGGTAAAGAATGAGAACCTGAGTTTGGTAGCCCGAAACCATATAAAATGATAGATGTGTTTGCAAATGCTTGTCATCCCAGCACTGGGGAAGTGGAGGCAGGTGGATTCCTGAGGCTTCTCGACAAGTCAGCCTAGCCTTGTTAGTGAATTCCAGTTCAGTGAGAGAGCGACTCCCAAAAACTAAGGTAAAGGGGCTTGGGAAATGGCTCAATTGGTAAAGATTGCTGGGCAAGCCTGAGCACCCATGTAAAAGGTGGGTGCTGTGGTGCACTTCTGTAATCAGGGCACTCGGTGGGGTGGGTGCAGACAGGATTCCAGTTGAAACTGTACACTCCAGATTCAGTGTGCGAACCTATGTCAAGAAACAAATATTCGAAGTGGAGAATGACAGAGGAAGACACTCGGTGTCTACTTCTGACTTCCGTCTGTATGTATACAGGGCAGGTGAGTGCTCCTGTACACACGCGTACACACCCTCCCGCCCTGCCCCGTCCCGCCCCCACCTAGAGCGTAAGAAGATCTCTGACCTTCACACAGACATATCCAAGTGCATGCACCTCTGCACAAGCTTGCACGCACCCACACGAGCATGCACATGCACTACAGCAATCCGCTACTTTATAGTCAGGCTCTTAAAAACGTTCAGACAGGGTCTCACTATGTACTGCATACTGGCCTGGAACTTAGTTCAGGCTGGCCTCAGACTCTAGATCCTCCGCCTCAGGTCCTTAGTGCTGGAATTACAGGCAGTTAGTTACGAAAAGCACGCTCTAGCTGACTGAAGGGCAATGAAAATGTAACCTAGGATGGTTGAATTGACACAAGGCCCCATTTCTTTTCTAGGGGCTTATGAGTGTGATCTAGAAAAAGAAATTCCCCTTTCTGATCTTTGCTCAAGCCAGGCTCACTCCAATGCGGCTAAAGAAAGAATTTACTTTAGATAATGTCCCAGCAGCAACTGATTCACAGGTCTCTCCTCCCGCACTCTCCCGTCTAGTCAGAGTCTCCTGTAGGGCTATCAGCAAAGACAAGGACATCTGTCCAATCTTCCCACCGGCTGGCAAAATGTAGACTACTAGATTGAGAGAAGAAAAGGCCTGGGGAGGGGTGGGAAAAGAACTCAGCTGCTAAAAGTCTACCATGCAAACGTGAGGAGCCGAGTTTGCTCCTTAGAGCCCACATAAAAATGCCTGGCATGGTGGCATGTGCTTGCAATCCCAATGCTGGGGATGTGGAAACAGGAAGACCCTCGAGCTTGCTGTTTAGCCTAGCCTAATTGACAAACCGTAGGCCAATGAGAGAGCGTTTCTCAAAGGAGTTGAACGGCATTCCTAGAGGTGACACTCAAGGATGTCACATGCACACACACATATAAACAACCAAAAATAGAAAAGGACCTGGTGGTGGCAGTGCACGTCTTTAATCCCAGCACTTAGGAAGCAGAAGCAGGCAGATCTCTGTGAGTTCAAGGCCTGCCTGGTTCACAGAGTGAGTTCCAGGACAGCCAGGGCTGTTTCACAGAGAAACCCTGTCTCAAAAAAAAAATCAAAAAAAAAGAAAAAAGAAAATCACATGGATGGTGGTGCACGTCTTTATTCCCAGCATTTAGGAAGCAGAGGCAGGCAGATCTCTGTGAGTTCAAA